CACGTTGTTCTGTTGCGCCAGAAGCGGTTTAGTCCTGCTGGCTACATGACCCGGAAAGCGTTCTGTGGACAAATGCCAGCTCCCTCGGCCTGAAAGGAAGATGAACGCCTCACCCCATAGTTGCCTTTGACTGGACTTAACCGTCCAGGGGTCCTTTATCTTACCTTTTTACCCAGAAGTATCATCAGAAGAAGTAGAACATAGGGATCAGTGTTAATAGCCATTGAAAGCATCCAAGGAAATGTCACTCTGAGACATTGCAGGAAATTTTACATGGTAGGCAGCTTCTCAGACACGTCTGCTGTCACGTGGTGATCCTAGCGCAAAATCAAGTGTGAAAGGATAAGAGTGGTCAAAGTGGCTCTTTGTGAGATAGGTTATCTAGCTTCTTACTATTAGCCTACTGGTTGCCTCTCTACTAGGGATTGGGAAGAAGAAGAAGAAGAAGAAGAAGAAGAAGAAGAAGAAGAAGAAGAAGAGGCGGAGGCGGAGAGTTTGGACTGATATCCCGCTTTATCACTACCCTAAGGAGTCTCAAAGTGGCTAACAATCTCCTTTCCCTTCCTCCCCCACAACAAACACTCTGTGAGGTGAGTGGGGCTGAGTGTGACTAGCCCAAGGTCACCCAGCAGCTGCATGTGGAGGTGCGGAGACTCGAACCCGGTTCCCCAGATTACGAGACTACCACTCTTAACTACTACACCACACTGGCTCTCCAGATGTTCAACTACAGCAATGCTGGCTGGAGTGGATGGGAGTCCACCAACATCTGGAGGGTCACAGGTTCTCCATCCGTGCTCAATATCTTGCTAAGAAATTTGGAGACACTGGACCGGGAGCTATTTTAAGGCCCTTGGCATTATTCGTATTTCTTCTCATGGCAGATTCCCGTGACAGCTTTTCTGGGTCAAGGAAAGAAATGCACCTGTACTGGGAAGTGCATTAAGGTCCAAACAAAATGTGGCATTAAATGCAACATTGCATTTAACATGTACACTGGGAAAAAAACCAAGTAGCAGCCGCTGGGGTATGTGCACTGTTGACTGGGTTTGCAGCAGCTGATTTTCTTTAGGACTGCAGCAGGGGAGGAAAGGGTTAAGTGGTCCCACCATGTCATCACAGTCCTTATATTTATCAGCCTCCCATCCCTGCAGCTGCTATTTGCATTTATAAGAACAGGCATGATAAAGACACATTTAATATCACATTTAGCTCAGTGCTTACAGGATTGCATTGGTATCAGTTTAATATTCTACATCTCCATGAGTTTGTCTAGACTTCTTGGAATGCTCAAATATTAGCGCATTGTTTTAGGAAACAGTGCTTTTGAATATTTTATCATTTCATAGCCACTAAAGGCAGAGAGAGACCATTAAGATGAGCTAATCCAAAAACTTGTTAAATATTTAGTAGCTATTTTTATGCAGTTCCTCTTTTATTATTTCTAGCTCTAAATAAAGGCAATGTTTTCAAGAAGACCATTGACCTGTTATGTTCTTTCTTTCCATTTTTAATTTGACATGTGTATGAACACGCAAGGAGAGCTTATGCTGGAAAAGAACATCTGTTTACGGAGGTGATTGATGGACTTAAGTGATGGAAAACAAAATATATAATAAACACAGTCTTGGTGAGCTGAAGGGAGTCGCTGGTTGAGATTTTGAACAGACTCTGTAAAGAATTTTAAAAAGCCCTTTTAAGGTAGAGAGGGTAAGCAAATACAATTATATCCAGATAATATCTTTTCATATGAGTTTAATATATAAACTTTGGCACAGGAGAAGATTCAAATGGCCCATCTTCATAGGCTCAGCTAGACCTCAGAATGCTACCAAAGCAGTCGAAATATTTCAGCCACTGCATGAATTGATGCAAGCTCTTGTGTGGTCTGACGGGTTGCTGGGGGGGGGGGGAATGTTATGTGAAATAACATGAATCTTCTCATTCTGCTTTTGTTTTGTTTCATTTAGCTGTTCCCAGCTCTATAATTGTTCTTTCAACGTGTAAATATTATGGCCAATCCCCAGCAAAGTTTAGATGAGGCCTGTGAAATGTAAACCCACATGTCTGAGCCAACGGGTATGGGTGACCATCTCTATGTCTTGTGAGAGTACCAGCCCACCTTCCATCCTTTCAAAAGTCTGTTGTGGTTTGTACAAATCTAGTCCCAGGAACTCAAACTGAGTTTAATTCCAAAGCAGTTGTAGGCAAAAAATATGAAGCTTAGTCACTTGGCAGGAAGTTCAGCTGTCATCTGACAGCAGCCGTTATATCAGGCTGTGGCGGAGGAGAGAATAATAATAATAATAATAATAATAATAATAATAATAATAATAATATACTCCACCCATCTGGCCGGGCCTCCCTAGCTACTCTGAGTGGCTCCTAGCAGAATATTAATAATAATAAAGCAATAAAATATCAAACATTAAAAACTTCCCTAAACAGGGCTGCCTTCAGATGTCTTCTAAAAGTCAGATACAGAGGTACCTCGGGTTACATCCACTTCAGGTTACATCCGCTTCAGGTTACAGACTCTGCTAACCCAGAAATATTACCTCGGGTTAAGAACTTTGCTTCAAGATGAGAACAGAAATCGTGCGGCGGTGGCGCAGTGGCAGCAGGAGGCCCCATTAGCTAAAGTGGTGCTTCAGGTTAAGAACAGTTTCAGGTTAAGAACAGACCTCCAGAACGAATTAAGTTCTTAACCCAAGGTACCACTGTAGTTGTTTATTTCCTTGACATCTGATGGGAGGATGTTCCACAGGGCAGGCGCCACTACCAAGAAGGCCCTCTGCCTGGTTCCCTGTAGCTTCACTTCTTGCAGTGAGGGAACCACCAGAAGGCCCTTGGAGTTGGACCTCAATGTCCAGGCTGAACGATGGGGGTGGAGATGCTCCTTCTTTTCACATCAGGCTGTGGCGGAGGAAAGAAGGGGTGAGCTCCACCCCTTCTCCTGCTAGGGACATGCAACTGGTCTAGGCTTAGCTCAGCACACAGCAGCCAATAATAAGATGCAGACTGAGGTCTTGATGGTGCAGGTGGAATCAGCACAGAAAAGTTGGAAATGGCAGCAGCCAGAGGCTCTGACACATTTGTGAATGAACTTGACTGGTTAATTCTGCAGGCTGCACGTGCAAACACACACAAACGCACAAAAATGTAAAAAGAAAGCACTAGAATGATTTGCAACTGCAGACACCCATTTACTTACGAGCCTAAGTTAACGCTGCCTATTTACTGGGTCCTGTTGTCTGGGGAGAGAGAAAGATTAATACTCTGTTCTTGCGCAGTTTCTTTCTCCATCTTCATATTGATCAGTGGTAGCTGTGCTCTTAATGGTGACTGGGCAAGGATCACAAGGAACTGTGCGCAGCAGTATGTGATTTATTTTATATTTCATCTGCACCAAGCCAAAAAAATAAACCAGGCTTTCTTCACTTCTATTTATGGTTCTTTTAAATTAAATTTAATTAATAAAACATTCACTTTGGAACACAGTGTCTAATTTTGTTTAATCTATTTTTCTGGCAATTTACCTTATTTTTCAGTTGAGAACACTTTCTAATTAACTGTCTTCCTCTTTGCGGAGAGAGAGAGAAAAAAATCCAATCAAAATCAAGCCAAGCAGTAGTTGGAGAATATTTACTATGACAGACTGTTTTCAATCCATATTGTTATCTTTGGTTTCATGTGAGACTGTGCACGTACACACACACACACACAGAGACACACTATCTTTCTCTTTCACTTCAGGGAGCTTCTCAGTTGAGTTTATCCATGAAGTCTATTAAAATACAGCATGTGTGAGACGTGGTGGAACATCCAGAGCAGATGGAAGAGATTAAGGACACTGCAGCTGGGAAAGCCTCACTCTCAAGCAATTGCTAGTGATGGCTGTTTCTGCATGCTGGAGCAAAATTGGGAGTTCACCCCACCAGACGCAGAAGTTGTCAGCAAAGGTGATATGCAATCCTATCCAGACATCGTACCTTGGGATCATGCAGATAGAGTAGCTTAGTTGGGCTGCATCTGTTTCCTCAGTCCAAAGAAGCATTTGGTATCTTAGAAGAGTTTCGATTTGATATCCCGCTTTATCACTACCCGAAGGAGTCTCAAAGCGGCTAACATTCTCCTTTCCCTTCCTCCCCCACAACAAACACTCTGTGAGGTGAGTGGGGCTGAGAGACTTCAGAGAAGTGTGACTAGCCCAAGGTCATCCAGCAGCTGCATGTGGAGGAGCGGAGACGCGAACCCAGTTCCCCAGATTACGAGACTACCGCTCTTAACCGCTACACCACACTGGCTCCCTTAGCATTCTTTCAGACAACAGAAGACCTCTGATGAAATTCTGGACTGTGGCGAGAAAAGGAAGCAAGTTGCGAGATGGAATGGGATTCATCCAAAGAATTCAGAATGGATGCCTTGTTTGTTAGGGGAGTGACTGATGTGGTTAGGCATATGCCATCTGACGGAGTGGACAACTACAGAGACAGGTTGGCTGAAGAGGAGAGTACATCTGATGATATGCCAGCTGCCTAACGTCCACCACAGAACAACCACAGCTAGTGCCCACTTCTTGCTTAGAGGGAGTAGGTGCCAGGCAGCTTTGATCTTTGGCACATCTAATTTTACTTGTCCCTTAAAATATATTGGCTGGAGACAAAATGGTCACATAAGGACTCAGAGCCATTGTACATCAGGGATAATGCTAGATGCTATATTTGACCTTTATGAACGAAAACCAGGCTTTCGAGCAATGTTTCATCTGTGAGATAGGTGTGATTATGAAAGTGGGGGCTAAGTTTTTATTGGGTTGTGCTGGCACCTGTTTTGCTCTCACCTCTTCACCTCTGCCCTTGTGCTTCCAGCTCTGTTCATCTTGGAACACTGGAATACATGAAGCTGCCTCATGCCAAGTTACCCAACTAGTCTACCGAACTCAACATTATCTGCACCGACTGATAGCAACTCTCCAGAGTTTCAGGCAGGACACGACTAGACCTTGCTGGGGATTGAACCTGGGACCTTCCACATATAAAGCGGATGCTCTGCCACTGGGCTACAGCCCTTCCCTGGGACGCAGGTGGCGCTGTGGTCTAAACCTCAGAGCCTCTTGGGCTTGCCAATCGGAAGGTCGGCAGTTCGAATCCCTGCGATGGGGTGAGCTCTGTCCGTTGCTCTGTCCCAGCTCCTGCCAACCTAGCAGTTCGAAAGCACGCCAGTGCAAGTAGATAAATAGGTACCACTCTGGCAGGAAGGTAAACGGTGTTTCCATGTGCCCTGGTTTCCGTCATGGTGTTCTGCTGTGCCAGATGCGGTTTAGTCATGCTGGTCACATGACCCGAAAAGCTGTCTGTGGACAAACACTGGCTCCCTCAGCCTCAAAGCGAGATGAGCGCTGCAACCCTGTACTTAACCATCCAGGGGTCCTTTACCTTTACAGCCCTTCCCTGTTGATCAGTAAACACCATGAAAGGCAGGGCTATGAATTTTTGTTCTAGAACAAGAGAAAACGGTTCCGTAGGTCAATATTTCATTTACCTTTTTTCCCATTTCTGTGATCTCTTATTTCCTTTGTATATTAAAAAGTGTCCCTACCTCCTTGCTATCTAACAAACAAACGTCGCCCTTGAGTCATTTCCTTTTCGGCAGTTTGCCAGGAACAGCAAGCCAAGCCCCAGCAATCAGTGTAAGAAGTTTCACTTTACTGAGCAGAGTTCAAGTGTACTCCATTATCCTAAACTAAGTGATAAAAAAACCTTTGATGATAGCTTTGTGAGCGACATATATAGGCCAGGGCTTCCTGTAGGGTGTGTGAGAGAGACTCATTAAAGGAAATAGTTGGTTTGTCAAGTTGCTTTCTCTCTTCCCCCTACCCCCAGTTCAAAGTTAGATTGTGAAGTTTTGATGACCAAGTGACAGAATTACACAAACAAAGCAAATAACAGGCTGGATCTAAATTCCAGCAGAATCAATGGGGGGTTGGTGCATTTTACAAGTACAATCTGCCCCAGTGTCAACACAGGACTTGGCTATCTCCTAAAAGTCACCCTGATTCTAGATAGAGTCATTTCTTCTTCGAACATAATATGATAATATTACCTTTCTCTGTTTAAATTGTTACACAATAAACATTTTTATTAATCATGTGTGATAATTGCCTGTATTTGTTACTTGCATCTAAAAAAATATAAAACTGCTGTTTTGAAGAGCCCTTAATACAGTTGTTGTTGTTTTTAAATTGTGCTTGTTCGCTCAGTTATTGATCTGCACCTAAACATTGACAAGGACTATTTATAGCTTATTGATCCGATTATATAACTCCTGGGCTTTTGATACCATTCAGTGTTAATGATGTGACTTTAGGGTCAGGCAGGTGTTCAGAAGTTTGTGGCTGGTTAGAAAGAAGATTCCAAAGGCTAGAAATATTGATCAGCTCAGACAATCACAGACTCATGGATAAGGGAAACAGTTTCCCATACATACGTCTTGGCATTTCCTCACAATTGGAGGGAGAAGTTTCTGTGGGATAACCAACCTCATATAACCAACATACTTAAGTCTGATTAATGCACAAAGAGGTTAAGACCACAGACAAGGTTATCAAGCTACCAGAGAAGATCAAAATGTAAGGAGATCTGACCTGGTCCCTGCAGTTCAGATGGCATGGCTTTTACAAGCCACTCTTGAGTTCCCATACCAATAATTTAGGAACTTTCACCACTGTAACTAAGCCAGGTCAAGGATTTAACATTTGTATTTCGTTTACACTCCCAAAATGTTAAAAGTCACTTTAGATGGCCTTTAAAAAAAATTTAAAAAATTTAATTTTGCTTGTACGTTGTGCTCCGTATGCCAGTACTAATTTTAATTTGACTTTCAGCTAGCCTATACCAAAGTTTATCATGACTCAAATAGTCTGAGCTCCTCTGCAAGTTAAATAGATGGCATGTCTGTGTTACGGAGTTAAACTGCTTTTAACAGCCATTCCACTTTCCCAGCAAACCCAGGGAAGTCCTGTAAGGGTATTCTATGTCTTAGAATAAGAATTCTCACAATCACATCAAATTATAGTTCCCAGGAGTCTGAAGGAAGCCGTGACCGTTTAACTGATTCAGCACCAATATATATTTGTAGCAGATTAGAGCCACAGAACTTGAGAAAAGGTGACTGATTCATATCTGCTATTTCATGTCTGCATTTCCTCCTGTAGCTGGAGTATAAGACCATCCACAGCCCCCATTTCAAGTCCCATAGCAATTACCAGAAGGAAAACACATCTGAATAGCGAAAGAGTGGTCCCAAATAGGGAGATGGCATCACTGGAATATCACAGGGTGATTTACCACCACTGTGCTATAAGGTCAATATGATGTCTGAACACTGTCGTCATGACTCAGAAAGGATTCCCTGTAAGGGTATACAATAGCAGCCCAAGTGCAGCACATGACTCAGTGTTTGAAATGTTTCCATAGCTGCTCTGACCAAATCCTTGTTTGATCTTAAGCAAAATGTTTCTGTTCAAGCAAGTTCAAAATGCAAAGTTATTTGGGAGAGTCACACTGCGTTTTATTGGCATATAGAAGGAAGAAAGGGGGCAGGCTGGATTTTTTAATAGTTGTAAATGTTTCCTATATATATATATATATATATATATATATATATATATATATCTCCACATGAAAGGCTGTTGATGAGAATAACTGTATTTCACAGAAGAGACATTTCAACAGTATAAACACTGTTAGCTGATAACTGTCAAGTTACTCGTGCAGTTTGTAAAAGGGCTCAAGTCCAGTGTTTGCAAGAAGGGTTTTAAAGGCCATATACAAAGTCCAGTGCAGGAACCCACCTACAGGTTAGAAAATATAATATATTCTTTTTGTATGTGTGTAAGACCATATAAGGACAGAGTAGGCCGCTGAACAGAGTTCTGCAATAACCAGTTAGGTAAAAATCTCAGACTCTGCATGGGCATTGCAGTGGCCAGGAATTCAAAGTAGATAGGGGTTGAAACCTTCCATTGAGCAGATACTCCACTTAGAAACCCTTAGCTAAAATTGTGTATGTGGTGCTGTGTATACTTTTACCTACAAACAGATTGCACTCTGTGCAGGAAATATGTAACATACGAAATCACACTTGAAAAATCACCTGGGTTCAAACAGGTAAAGCAGGGTATGCAGTTCAAAAAACAAAACAAAATCCTGAAATTTTCATTTGATTTTTTTTTAACCCCAAAGATAAATCAGGTGGCTAGCCTGCATAACCTGTGTGTAGCTGGATATTGCCTTTCCCCTACAATAAATTTAACATTCACATATTTCAAAGTTCGCTTTGCAAGAATGGAATCCTTTGCCTCACCTTCGTCTGTGTTTCTTTTTTTGTTTGAAGAATGCATTTGGTACTTATCAGAATTTTAAGTCAGAATACAGGGAAAGCCTTCCATAAATTATTTGGCTACAAATGCTACTGATGTCCAGACAGGAAAAGGCTGATAACAGCTGTTCTTCCATTCACCCCGATATTTCTACCTCAGCAGAAGTACAGGCAAAACACCCCCTTTTTTGTTTTTCTACGAAGTGTTTTGTATACTGATGCTGTATAACAGGGAAGGCTAACCAGCCCAGTAGCCAGTTTTCCTTGTTAAGTGAGGCAGCCACATTTCTAGGTGGGGCATATATGGGGAAGCACATAGCACCAACCCATTCTGCCCCCTCCCCTTCACTGCAGGAGAGGATGTGAGGATGAGGCCTGGGGAAGGGGAAGCCAGTGCCCTTTCCACCCCCTCCTCCTTGTAGAGAGTGTGTTAACTTACATGATGGGCAAGGCTAAGGTCAAGTTAACAGAAAATTTAATATGAACACCTGAAATTAAATTACTAGAGTCAAGCTTTGTTTTCTCAAAAATTCAGTTTTACACTTGCATCATGACAGCACCAATGCACCACCACCAAGTCCTCATTTGCTAATTGTAGGGTCTGCAGAATGGTTTATATTGCAAAAGGGGCTCTTTTAGGAGGCTTGGGTATTTGGATTCCAAACCATTTAGGGTTTAATATGAGGGATGTGATATGTAAGTAGCAGTCAAGTGAAACACTCATTGTTTTCCTAGAGTGGACATGCGGGGGACTGTTTGGTCCAGCCAGTCGAAAACTTCCTGTTTCCTCCTGGCTGGGACATACTTCCTTTGCATGTGACTAGAGGTGGGTGTGACCTTACCAGTCCAGGTAACAAAAGGGACAAGGCACGTAGCACTCTCTCTCTCTTTTTGACTCCCTCCGTCGTTGGAGCAGCTTTTAGCTAGAGATTCTCTGTTGGCTTCCAGCTAACAGAGGACACTGGGATTATCCCCATATGGAATAGCTTCACATATATATACTTTGTAACTATGTCTGCCTTCAGGGATCCATCTGTGAACTGAATGTGAGTAAACTACTGTGATGGCCTGGGAATCTGATTCAGAGGCTGAACCGGAGAAATCCCAGCCTGCGCAGGAGTCCCCGCCTCCAGGGCCGGCTGAACTGGGGCAGGGCCTTGATTCTGAAGCGCCTGCACCTGTGCCGGATCCTCAGGAGCAGGCACCAGGTGAATCCACTCTGGCTCCGGAGGTGGTTGAGGACTCAGTGCCTACAGGTGAGTCTCCCCCTGGGCCCAGTAACCCTTCAGCCTCTCCTGAACTGCAGAGGCTCAGGGCAGAGAGGCGAAGGGAACTGGTTTCTCCCAGGAGGAGTGCTCGCCTTAAGGCCAGGAGAGGCGGGTCTCCTGGGGGCCGGGACCGCCCCTGGCCTCAGAGAAGATAAAGGCCAGTCAGCCCGGTCCCAGGTTGCGGGAGCAACGTCGTCGTTGAGTAACTGCTCCTACCCGGACCCAGACCTGACCTTCCAGTGTTCCTGTCCCCGTCTGGCTTCCAGCTTCTGACCTTCCAGTGTTCCTGTCCCCGCCCGGCTTCCTGCTTCGGACCTTGCCTCGCTCCTTGTGAACTGTTTCCAGACCAGTGACCCAGGACCAGACTTTGACTACGCCAACGGTAACCTTCCCCCCGGGACCAGCACAACTACTTTTATA